AATCCTAGTAAAAATCCATTCCACACCTCCAAGGACAACCAATCGTGATCAGAAATTCATGACAATGAGATAATTCAAGAATAAAACTCCTCTTTACCCATTCAGTCAAATAAATGTGTTAAGCACCAACTGCATAATAAGTACTATGCATTATACTAAGGATATAGCAATTAACAAAACAGAACTATCTGCCTTCATGAAGCTTCCTATCTAATGGAGGAGACTAAATATACAGCATGTTAGCCCTAGTTGGTTTGGCCTGTGGACTGAAGAGTCCCGAGTTTGATTCTGGTCAAAAGCACATGCCCGGGGTTGCAGGCTCAATCCCGTGTGGGGTCTGCAGGAGGCAACTGATCAATGATACTCTCTCATCACTGATGTTGCTGTCTCTCATATTATAGGTTGATAAGAGGTAAGGAGGAAAAGTGGGATAGGATATTCAGAAAATGTATGTGGGAGTGGGGCTTTGCAATCTAGATAGCCAAGGAAATGTCCCTGTTAAGTGTGACATTTGAGTAAAGATCTGAGGAGGTGAGGCGACAAGGCTGTGCAGCTCCATAAGGAAATGGTTATCCTAGAAGATCCAGGGAACAAGTGCACAGCCCCTGAAGCAGAAATGTCCTCAAGGAGCAGCCACGGACCAGTGCATATGTTGGGGGGAGAGGGGGAGGGAGAGGGAGCGGGAGCAAAAGGGTGCTACAGATCTAGGGCTTTGAAGGCAATTGTAAAGTCTGTGGTTTTTATTCTGAGAAAAAAAGGAAGCCATCTCCTCTTCTGACTCCTTTCCATTAAAAAATATCCGGCACCCTATTTTACATAAGCAAAACTTTAAATTGTTTTAAACTGTGGAGATCTACAGTATAGATCATATAGTGGACTCAAAGACAGCAACTGCAACTCTGAAATGTGACTTTTGCTGACAATTTATCAGACCTTCAAGAAAGGTTCTCAGGTCTCTCAAACCTATGGAGAACAGCAACAGGGCAAGAAAAAAAAAACACAAGTGAAGAGTGAACTTAATTAGCCCTAACCTACCACTCTCCACCACTACACTTTTATCTCCATGCCCCTGGCTTCACAAAAAAGGAAAAGAGAAATATTGGAGAAAGAACACAATAAAAAAGAAAAGGGGGGGGGGGGGAAGCATTAGTAAGAAAGAAGAGTCACGAAGCCAATTTAAGTGCCCATACGACGATTCAAAAATACAATAAAACGTTAGGCATTTGTGACATTTTCAAAAGTGGAACCTCCAGTCTCCATTTTGCCCACCAACATCAACCAGGGTTCAGGCTGTCTTCATTTTAGTTAAATCAACAGGAAAAAATATATATACAAGAACATTCATCCCACTGGGGTCTTAATTGAAATTTTCCCTTTCTTTGGCTTAATGACACTCTGGGCTGTTATCCGGTCACTTCTCATCATTACACAAGCACCGTTCACTGTGAGTAACTAAATATTCTGTGGAACTACGAGGCTAACGGTCACAAATGTTGAAAATGTTTGGCTCTTACAGGAAACCGAAGTCGGGAATAGTCCTCTGAGGCTCCAGTGAGTTATGGGCTTAGTGTAGGCCCAACTTTTAAACTCCAAAAACAGCTCCCTGTGTGCTCCCACTCAAATCCCTGTCTCCACACAAACTCGGAAACCCGCATGATCTGAAACACTCCAACACCGTTCCCTCCCATTTTTTTCCAGAAAACGGAGACCCATGGAGGCAGTCACCCCCAAGCCTCAAAAGGGCGCAAGTTCTTAGGTCCCACTGCACAGGCCACAGGTGGCGCCAGCCCCCCCCCCCCCCCCCACGCCTCCCTCTCCGTTTCCCCACACACTGGGGACTCTGCCTCGGGGCCGCCCTTCACCAGCCGCTCCGGCCATCACCCACCATCCCGGCCCCGGGCAGCGCCGGCGCGGGGAACCCAGACCGGGGGCCTCTGCCCGCCGCCCCGCGAGGCCGCCACGCCCCCTCCCCACGGGCCGCCCGCCCGCGCCGCCCGCCCCTTCGGCCAGGAGGCGGCCTCACCTCACGCGGGCCGTGGCGGGGAGGGCACCCGCGTCTCCGCCCGCCGCCCGGGCCCACGGCGCCCCAGCGGCGGCGCGCTCCTGGGGGCGGGCTCTTCTCGGCAGGGGGTTCCCCCCGGGCCCGGGACGGGGGTGCAGGGGGGGAAACTGGGGCGGGGGAGGGGAAAGGGACTTGGGAAGGAGGGGGGAGAGGGGGAGAAAAGGAGGGAACCAAACCCGGAAAGGGAGAAGAGGGGGGAGGGGGGAAATTAGAAGGGGAAGAAAAGGCCCAGAGTCCGCCCCCCCCGCTGCGGCCTGCGCGCTACGTCACCGCGTCCGGCCTACGTCACCGCGTCTTGCGCCCGTCGCGGGCCCCGCTTGCCGTGGGCCTCGGCGCGACTGCGGGCGCCCGGTACACGCTCGCCCACCTCCCAGCTGCCCCCCCGCGAGCTCACTCGGGAGCTCAGTGTGTCGCCCCCTTTGTGTAACCTGGGTCCGAAGCTACCAATCCACATCCACTGGGATCCTTAGCGTGTCAGGTTCGCCCTAAATTTAAACATAATACTACGTAATAACTAAAGGAATTTAAATGTACAGAGCACTTTCAGAATAGCCTTTGACTTAGGACAGTAACTCCTGAGCCCAAAAGAGCAGTTTCACGATAAAAATGTGTAATATACATGGGTAAGGATCATGTGGTAGGTAAAGGTCCATGTGTTCCAGAGGTGTAAAAATTTAATTCTATTAAAATCGCTTCTTACCACCACCTCCCTCTAAAATATAGTTCTTAAGAGTCCTCTTCAGTTTGCAAACCTGGAAAGGGAAAATCATTTTAGTTATTGGTTACGCGCATTAAGATAATTTACCGATCTCAAAGAAGTCTTACATTGATAGAGTTTGACCGTTAAATACTTACTATGCAACAAGAACTGTAGAATGTGCTAAAAAAAAAAAATTGAATTTTAGAATATATTAAAAAGGAGAGTTCAGAAAAAAAAAAAAGAAAGAAAGAAAAGAAAAAAATAATAAAATGGAGAGTTCAGAAGGGCAGATATTGGCAGAATTTCTTCAGCACATTTAGAGGTGAGGGTATTCTGGCTCACAAACAAACCTATGTAGTAGGAATAATAATAAACTTTTATTAAGCACTTAATCTGTGCCAGCCACTGTAAATGCTTTACAAAATTATTTAAATCTCAAAACTGTGAGATAATCATTATAGATCTGTAATCTCATATTCAAAATCCATAGGAGCAGCCCAGCCTGTGTTGCTCAATTGAGTGTCGTCCCATGCACCAAGGGGACGCTGGTTCGATTCCTGGTCAGGTTATAAGCCCAGGTTGCAGACTTGATCTCCAGTAGGGGGCATACAGGAGACAGCCCATGCAGGAGGCAGCTCATCGATGTTTCTCTCTCTCTCTCTCTCTCTCTCTCTCTCCCCTTTCCCTTCATCTCTAAAATCAATTTAAATTTTTTTTTAAAATCCATAGGACCAGACATGGATCAGAATTCAGAAAATGTCAAGTTTTAGAAAGGTAAAATGGTATGTAAAATGTATATTATGGTCTGGCTGGCAGGGCTTAGTGGTTGAGCACTGACGTATGAATCAGGAGGTCATGCTTTGATTCCCTGCCAGGTCATATGCATTATTTGGGGGCTCAGTCCCCAAAGTGGGGTATGGAGGAGGCAGTCAATCAATGATTCTCTCCCATCATTGAATTTTCTGTATCTCTTCCTCCCTCTCCCTTCCTGCCTGAAATAAATATAAAAAATATTTTTAAATGCACATTTTGTAGTACCTCCAAGGGTAGCATCCTATAATCAAATACTATTTCTGTAGTAAAAAAAAACATATAAATAGTCTCAGAATGATTTTTTTAAAAGCCATAAATAACTTCACTTCTGGTCAGGTTTAAACACTATGTGAGATACCCACACACACACACACAAAAAAATGTGGATTTTATTTTTTAAATTTTGGAATCATGGATAATAATTTATCTCGTATCTCCAATGAAGGCACTAAAGCAAGAGAGATTAAGTAACTTGCCAAGAGTCACACAGCTGATAAAAGAAAAAGATAGAACTTCACCAAGGTCATTGGCTTAAAAACCTATGCTCCAAATTCCATCTGCCACTCCTGCCAGGTAAATCCCCCTTGAGGAAATAAAAGCCTTCCCCTGAAGATCTACTATTCAGGACCTTTAGGGGAGAAAAAGGAGAACTGTGAGCAACCTTAAAATTTCTCTTCCCAAACAGAAGAAACCCCAGAGTACATCTAGCTCTCAAGCCCCTTCCTCACCTTCAGACTTCTTGCCGAGTACACAGAAGACCTGGCCAGAACACTTCCTTTCCTCTCCCAACCCTTCCGACAGGATGTTTTTTGAGCCTCACTCGGGCAAACCCGAACAAGAGCTAACGGGAGTTTGGGTTGGGGGCCGGCAGAGATGTGAGAAGTTTCAGGCAAAGGAAAATGCAACTCTCAAACCCTCAATTACCTGCATGACAGTGACCTAAACTGCCTACCAATAATCCCCTCTTATTGGAAAGTTACCTTTTAATATTCTATTTTACAACCTCTAATCTCTCCCTTTCCCCACCAGGCTTCCCAGCAAGGCCATTGATCTGAAGAGGAATTGCATCTCTGACCTTTGTCCCTAGGCCTGGCAGCTCACATGGGCACCCACTGTCTCCCAGCATTGGCCCAGGAACACTTCTTTCCCCAAACAAACCAACCTCCACTCACGTCCCCCGCTCTGTTCTTTCACTGATTATGCATCGGCAGCTTCTGCCAAGTTCTACCTGTAACTGGCTTCATCTCCCAAGTCAGATGTTTGGCTGCTCTCTCCCCTGCAACAAGGAGTCATGCCAGCTGGACCCATTTTCCTTTCCCAGCCTCTGGCGGCCAGGACAAAACCAGGACCACAGCTGTGGAGACCCTGAGCCCGGGGTTGGTGGCCTTCTCTCACTGTGTCACTCAAGAAGGGCCTCCCCCAACAATGATCTCCTCATTGTTCCTGGCCTTCCCATTCCTGGCTCTGGCCACAGTGGCCACCACCAGAGCTGACAGTCGGTGCCTGGCATGTGGGGAGCCTGCTTTGGACCTGCAGAGCCAGCGCGAGCTGCTTCTCCCCCTTGCCAAGAGAAGCATCTTGGACAAGCTGCACCTCAGCCAGCGCCCAACGCTGAGCCGGCCAGTGTCCAGAGCCGCTCTGAGGATAGCGCTGCAGCGCCTCCATGGGCGCCCACAGGGGGCGCCTCCGGAGGCTGACAAGGGACAGGAGTATGAGATCATCAGCTTTGCTGAGACAGGTGGGTTACTGACCTGTAGATCTTCCTCAAAACCTGACCTCTCAAGGAAAGGAAAACTGTCCTCCCCAACCTAACCCCTGACTCCCCCCCCCCAAAACCATCCCAACTCTTTCTCCCCATGACCTGTCATCTCCTAATCCAGGGTTCCCACTACCTCCCCACTCTGCACCCCCAGTCTATCTCTGGTCATTTAGATGTGACCAAAGGGCAGCTGGGATGTGGGTAAATTTCACATTGCCCCCATCTCCTTTAGCTTCTCTCTCTAAAGACCCCACAAACTTCCCCAGGCTGTGGTGTGAGCTCATCCACTTCCTGGGCCTGAACCCAGAGACTGGAGGCTGGGAGTCTGTCTTTTCTCTGGCCCAGGATCCAACTTCTTCATCTCCTCTCTCCCAGATGCCTCATTTGGGTAAAAGGGCAAAATAAAAACACCAGGACAATATACCTCTCCACCCTACCCCTGTCCTCTTGCCTTGTTACACATCAGGACAGGGTAAAAATGGGACATAGAAAAGTGGAGAGAGGATAGAAGAGGAGAGTCACTTCCATGGAGGGGAGAAGAGTTGGAGAACTTAGTGGGCAGCTGGAGAGAAAGACCAAGAATTCAGAGACAGTACCCTGGAAACAGAACACAAAGTGATCTAGTATCTGTCCTCTGAGCTTCTTACGAGTGCTTTCTTAGGTCTGAAGGCCCTTCCCATTCCTGGTCTGTACTTCAAGACCCGGCACTCCCACTCTCAAAAAGCCCACGCTGACCTGAGGGTGAGGTGCTCCCTTACCTCAAACCAGAACTCTCTGTGGGAAATTGTCTATGTTCAGTTTTTCTATAAAGCCTGTCTTCCCATAAGATATCAACCCTGAGGTCAGGAACTGTCATTTATTCCTCATGTTATCACCAGAGGCTAGCATATAGTAGAAATAACTTACACTTAACAATGTTTACTGTGTTTTAAGCCTTTTGCATATACTAAGATCTTCACAAGAGCTCAGTGACGCAAGTACTATCGTTATCCCATTTTAGAGGTGATGAAACTGAGGCACATGAGGTTGAGTAACTTGCTAAAGTTCACATGACCGGTAAGTAGTGGAACTAGTCATGGCTCTGGAATCCATGGCCTTGGGCACTACACCATTATGCCTCTCCCAAATATAATAGATGCCCAATAAACATGGCTTGCGTTAAAACAACCAAATCCTACTGCAGGTCAGCTTGACCATAGTCTAGAGTCCCCAGTGATGGATGAGACCTTATTCTAGTTCAAAATGTGCTTCTGTTCATGATTAAGAAGACGATTCTAGAGCCAGATGGCCAGGCTCAAATCCTTGTTCAGACACTTATTTCTGTGTGACCTGGGTTGTTAATAGGTTTCTTACGTGTAAAATGGGGATTAACTGGAGGATAGTTGAGATAATAAAATAAGCTAATACAGGTAATGTACTTAGAAGACTAAGGTGGGAGGGAACAGGAAATAAAAGACTTAGCTCCTGCAGAAACCGGTTTGGCTCAATGGATAGAGCATTGGCCTGCAGACTGAAAGGTCCCAGGTTCGATTCTGGTCAGGGGCATGTACCTTGGTTGTGGACGCATCCCCAGTGGGGGAGGCAGCTGATCAATGATTTTTCTATCATCGATGTTTCTAACTCTCTATCCCTCTCTCTTCCTCTCTGTAAATAAATCAATAAAATATATTTTAAAAAATAAAATAAAAGACTTAGCTCCTGCCCATGAGGGGTTTAGATGCTGCTGCTGCTGCTGCTGGAAATCAGTTATTTAGAATACTAGGCAGAATGGAATAAACGCTGCCTGTGGGCACAAGAGTTTGCTGGGCCAGGATTAACTCACTGGCACCTGGTGAGACAGGGAGGTCTTTCAGAAGATTGCAAATGGGCTGCCATTATAGAGTAAGTTTGCCTTCAAAAGGGTAAAGAATGGTAAATAACATCCTAATGGAGGGGGGAATCAGATGAAAGTTTGAAGGAGTAGATTGCATTTGGAGTTGAAAACTAGTTTGGAGATTAGGTGGACAGATGGCCATGAACCATGAATCCCTTGAATACTGAAATCCTGGCTGGTTTTGGTTTTTTTCCACCTTTGTATCCCTGACACTTAGCCCAGTTCCTGGCACATTGCAATAATAATGATGGTTGCCATGCATTCTGTGTAACTGCCTCACCTCCTGTGATTCTCCCAACCACCCTATAAAACAGACTTTAGAATTCCCACCTTATGAATGCAAAAACTGAGATTCAAAGATTATTTACATGGCCAAGGACATAAAGCTTGCAAGGGGCAGAATTCAAACATAATTCTCTCTGACTTCAAAGTCTGTATACTTTCCACATATTTGCTAATCAATGAATGATTACAATGTTCAGGTCAGATCTGAGATGAAGTTTGAAGGTGAGAATGGCTGATGCCTGGATTTCACCTTTCACATTTAAATATTTTAGCCCGAAGTTTTCATTTCAATTCATTTAAGTTATCTACACCATAGTGTGAAATAAAGATCTGAAAATTGTTCTTGCTGGAAGTCTGAAGAGAGAGTTTGAGGCTCTGGGGAAACTAGGGTAGGGGCCTTCAGTACAGACGTGGAACTGGCTCATGAGAGCTGATTGTGGATATCTTCCAACTCTGCATCCAGAGACATCACATTGATAGTTAGAAATCAGTCATGGTGGGAGAATTTATATCACAGAAATTGGCAAATACTTCAAATCAGGGTGTTCCCCCCCGCCTCTAGAATCCAGTTGTTAAATATTTACCAGCACACCACTGCTTGTGACCTAAAAATACAAGTTAACTGCCTCCCACACACCTAATATACAATGCTAAGACAAGACAGGATACTGTAATTGATACTCCTATTCAAAATGGGAGATGGGGAAGCACAGAGCCGTCACTGACCCATGGAAATTCTTTATATATAAATTGATTTTTTACAGAGAGGGATAGAGAACTAGAAACATTGATGAGAGAGAAACATCCATTAGCTGCCTCTTGCACACCCCCTACTGGGGATGTGCCCGAAACCAAAGTACATACCCTTGACAGGAATAGAACCTGGGACCCTTCAGTCCACAGGCCGACGCTCTATCCACTGAGCCAAACCGGTTTCAGCTGACCTATGGAAATTCTGATATTTAGCCAGGCACATATCTCAGTCTATCCCAAATCCAGAATTCCCTTGGTTAATGTCTGATTCTGCTGCTCCCTGGTAGGATTTTTTCTCCTCTCAGGAAGAGTCCACCACTGCTCTCTTTGAGATGTCTGAAAGCACCCTCTGAGATGTCTTTCCTTTTAAATAAGAAATGACCTGTGCTCATGAGAATTTGGGGCCCACAGGCCTCTTTTCATTTTGAATTGTCTCTGTCCCTTTTGTCCAAATTGGTGCTGCTTTCAAACTTTAAAACTCTGTAGGGCTTCTAAATAATAAATTATAGCCTACCCAATTAGACAAAAGGCACTCCACTCTGTCAAGACAGACCCCTACTTATGTTATAAGTCATGATGTTGTGGGATACAACTCTTAAGATTCTTGGAAACCCTTTTGTCTTGTTGAGAGGGTCCACAGAAGATCATCTTAAGTTTTAGAGCTTAATAAATATGTTAGATCATAACAAAGGGTCTTATGGCTGAGCCTTTTTTTTTGTTTTTATCTTCACACCGAGGTCATGTTTTACTGTCAGTGCCCTGGATTTGATTTTTGCCTTGAGAGCATATCTTATTTGAAGAACTTTTTGCCAGACAGAGAGACAGGGAATGAAGAAATATTTTATTGTTCAATTAGCAAGTCCTGTTTGAAATATTCTTTCGAAATTCTGCTTGAAAATTTAACAGTTCTTAGGATAAGGCAGCTAAAATAAGCCAAATGACACTTTCAGCATTCTGCCTGGAAATATCTTCAGCTAAATTCACAACTTTGTTAGATATCACTTCTAGCTTCCAAGTTATCACAGCTGATAGCCAATACATAATACAGTGTCCCCTTTCTCTGGCTTCCAATAGCAATTTTCTCATTGCTCTAACTGCCTTCACTAACACTCTCCTCACCATCCTTACAACCTCTGCCTGCTACCCAATCCCAAAGCCAGTGCTACATGTTTTAGGTCTTCATTATGGAACATCCTACTTCTGATACTAGTTTCTGTTTTAGTTATCCATTAACATAATAAGCCCAAATACAGAGGCTTAAAAGAAAAAATTCAGCTGAAACCGGTTTGGCTCAATGGATAGAGCGTTGGCTTGGGGACTGAAAGGTCCCGGGGTTCGATTCCGGTCAAGGGCATGTACCTTGGTTGCAGGCATATCCCCAGTGGGGGGTGTACAAGAGGCAGCTGATCCATGACTCTCTCATCGATGTTTCTAACTCTCATCTCTCTCCCTTCCTCTCTGTACAAAATCAATAAAATATATATATTTTTAAAAATTCAATGTTTTTCATGATTTTGTGATTTGACTGGGTTTCTCTGGACAGTTCTGGTCCACAAATGCTAGCTGAGGTCGCTCAGATGGGACTAGAACATCGACGATGGTTTTTGATTCTCCACATGGCTTTTCATCATTCAGTAGTCTCTCCCAAGTTTCTCTGAAGTCAAGTTGCTGGCTTCCAAAAAGATGAAGCCTCAGTGTATAAGCTTCTGCTTGCACTATGCTTGCCTGTGTCTCCTTGGCCAAATCAAATCACATGGCCAAGGCAAGAGTTAATATGGGAAGAAATTGCACAAAGCTATGAATGTTGGGAGCTGTTGTTCATTGGGAGCCAATGATATAATGGTCTATCACAACCCCTGTGGGCCATATGTCTGCCTGCCATAACTGGAGTGACTTTAGAGGTCCTAACAGTAAGGTGCTTAGTGACCTAGCAAGAAAAGATTAGTTAGGCCAATCAGACTCCTCTGGGATTTTGGAATTGGGACAATGAAAGATCTGCTCACTTAGCTAGGAAGAGGTGAGTAAAAGGTTCTATAGACTCAGGACTTGTGACCACCATTTTGGGAGTTGAGAAAGCTAATGAGGAGGCAGAAGAAGTATATCCAAGCCAGCTAGAATATAAACTCCATGGTTCACCATTATATGGTTCACTTAGTACATAGTCAACACCCAATAAAAATTTGTTGAATGAATGGCCTTTTATTTTTTTTTTTGTTTTAATATATTTTATTGGCCGGGACCGGTTTGGCTCAATGGATAGAGTGTCGGCTTGGGGACTGAAGGGACCCGGGTTCGATTCCGGTCAAGGGCATGTACCTTGGTTGCGGGCATATTCCCAGTAGGGGGTGTGCAAGAGGCAGCTGATCGATGACTCTCTCTCATCGATGTTTCTAACTCTCTATCTCTCTCCCTTCCTCTCTGTATAAAATCAATAAAATATATATTTTTTAAAAAAAATATATATATATTTTATTGATTTTTTTACAGAGAGGAAGGAAGAAGGACAGAGAGATAGAAATATTGATGAGAAAGAAACATCAACCAACTGTCTCCTGCACACCCCCTACTGGGGATGTGCCTGCAACCAAGGTACATGCCCTTGACCAGAATCGAACCTGGGACCTTTCAGTCCACAGACCAACGCACTGTCCACTGAGCCAAACCGGTTTTGACTCTTTTATTTCTTTAATTCTTATTTCACACTGATACCAGAGTTACTTGCCAAAAACTTGGCTAGATCATGAAATTCCCCATCTCAAAAACCTTATCAGTGAAGAAAGTCCAAACTTTCAGAGAGAAAAGAATGAAGTAGACTTACTTAGAAACAGAGATGAGAGAGATCATATTGGCTCTGAGAGCTGTCAAAAGCTGTCTTATTTCCTGACATTCCAGTTCACATGAACACTAGTTGAACTTTATTTTTTATGTCCATGAAAGTGCCAGTGGCATTCCCACAATAAAGCACTCTTTACTTGATAGATAAAGAAAAAAAAAAAAAAAGGTAGCATAGATCAAATTATAATGGGCTTATGACTGCTTCCTAAAAGAGTTTGGACTTTCTTCACTAATAAGTTTTTTGAGATGATGAATTTCATGAATTAGAGAGGAAGGGAGAGGGAGAAAGAGATACATTTATGAGAGAAACGTCAATCTGCTGCCTCCTGCCTGCCCCTATGGAGGATCAAGCCCACAACCTGAGCCACAATCTGGGCATGTGCCCTGACCTGGAATCCAATTGACAACCTCTCAGTGCATTGATGCTCTGAGCCACATCTGCCAGGGCTAGAAAACTGATTTTTTAAAAAATATATTTTATTGGCCGGGACCAGTTTGGCTCAGTGGAAAGAGCGTCGGCCTGCGGACTGAAGGGTCCCGGGTTCGATTCTGGTCAAGGGCATGTACCTTGGTTGCGGGTGCATCCCCAGTAGGGGGTGTGCAGGAGGCAGCTGATCGATGATTCTCTCTCATCGATGTTTCTAACTATCCCTCTCTCTTCCTCTCTGTATAAAATCAATAAAATATTTAAAAAATATATATATATATATTTTATTGATTTTGTACAGAGAGGAAGGGAGAGAGATAGAAAGCTAGAAACATCGATGAGAGAGAGTCATCGATCAGCTGCCTCTTGCACACCCCCTACTGGGGATATGCCCGCAACCAAGGTACATGCCCTTGACCGGAATCGAACCCGGGTCCCTTCAGTCCCCAAGCCGACGCTCTATCCATTGAGCCAAACCGGTCTTGGCTAGACAACTGATTTTTAAGTCACTTTGGAGCAAAAGGGGTAGGTAATTACCATTATTTTTTTGTAAATCAATCAAAATTATACCTTTTTTTGTCATTCAGCAAAAATATATAGTTTTGATATACTGCAGAACTTTAGTAATTAGTTTGTGTGTGCCAGGAGATGAAAAAGGTTGAAAATCGCCAAAACCGGTTTGGCTCAGTGGATAGAGCGTCGGCTCGAGGACTGGGGGGTCCCGGGTTCGATTCCGGTCAAGGGCATGTACCTTGGTTGTGGGCACGTCCCCAGTGGGGGTGTGCAAGAGGCAGCTGATCGATGACTCTCTCTCATTGATGTTTCTAACTCTCTATCCCTCTCTCTACCTCTCTGTAAAAAATCAATAAAATATATATATTTTTTTAAAAAGAAAAAGGTTGAAAATCACTAAACTAATGTATAGTAAAGGCAACAAGATCAGTGAAATTATATTATGAATTGGAGGTAGATTTGACAGGGCTTACAGATAATTTCAAAGCAGGAGATGAGAGCAATCAAGGTTTTGGCTTAAGCAATGCATTTATATGGAAGGAGGAGATTGAGAAGGAATGGGTTTGGGGAGATAAATCTAGAGTTCTTTGAATGTGAAAAGTTTGAAATATCATTGGCTATCCAACTAGGTTATCAGACGAGCTGTTGGATATACAAGCCTGGGGCTTGGGGAGAAGTCAGGTCCAGGAGTATATATTTGGTAGTCATCAGCATATAGATGAAATTAAAAGCCATGGGAATTGATGAGACCATTCTGAGAGAGAGTATATATATAGAAGAAAAAGGAGAAGAGAGCTCAGGACTTCCAACATGTGGAGGTCAGGCAGAGAAAGAGTTGACAGCAAACAAAAAAATCAAAGTGGAGTGGCCAGATTCACAAAAGCCAGGAAGGGGGGGGGGGGGGAATATTTCAAGAAGGAGGGAATGGTTAAGTATGTCAAGCACTGCTTAAAGGTCAAGTAATATGAATATAAAGAGATGAAACCACCGAAACCAGTTTGACTCAATGGATAGAGTATCAGCCTGCAGACTGAAAGGTCCCAGGTTCAATTCCAGTCAAGGGCATGTACCTTGGTTGTGGGCACATCCCCAGTGGGGGGTGTACAAGAGGCAGCTGATCAATGTTTCTCTCTCATCGATGTTTCTAGCTCTCTATCCATCTCCCTTCCTCTCTGTAAAAAATCAATAAAATGCCAAAACCGGTTTGGCTCAGTGGTAGAGCGTCAGTCTGCGGACTGAAAGGTCCCAGGTTCAATTCCAATCAAGGGCATGTACCTTGGTTGCGGGCACATCCCCGGTAGGGTGTGTGCAGGAGGCATCTGATCAATGATTCTCTCTCATCGACATTTCTAGCTCTCTATCCCTCTCTCCTCCTCTCTGTATAAAATCAATAAAATATATATTTTTTAAATCAATAAAATATATTTTTTTTAAAAAGAGAGAGATGAAACCACTGGGCTTGGCAACATGGCAGGTGTTGGTGAACCTGAAAGAGTAAGCTCAGTGGAGTGGAGGGAATAAAAACCCAATGAAAGTGTTTCAGTAGGGCAGGTGAGGGATGAAGAGGGGAACTGTGGCAACCCTAATAGGGATCGGAAGAAATGCATAGACATTAAAACCATTGTGATGAGGGACTGGATAAGGGGAATGAAGGAGGTGACCACAGGGTTTCTAGAGATGTTAAGGAGGGTAGTGGCACCACCAATTCTAAGAACAAGAAGAGAGATCAGCAAGAAAGAAAATAATGATTTTCATTTGGGACAAATTGATTTTAATGTGCTGGCAGGACATTTATGTGCCCTGAAGCTTGATGATTCCCAAATCTACATGTCCAGGCCAGAGGTGCAAAAAGGTCTGAACTGGACATACAGATTTGAGAATCAACAGAATAAAAGTTGTTTTGGCTGACCATGAGATTGGGTAGGAGCTCTTCTCAGTGTAAAAGGCAAACTTTGGAGAACTCTTGCATTAAAGTGCTGGTCAGAGAAAGAAAAGCCAGCAAAGAAAATCAAGGAAGAATCAAAAGAGAATTGTGTGCCGAAACCAGTTTGGCTCAGTGGATAGAGCGTCGGCCTGCAGACTGAAAGGTCCCAGGTTCGATTCCTGTCAAGGGCATGTATCTTGGTTGCAGGCACATCCCTAGTAGGGGATGTGCAGAAGGCAGCTGATGGATGTTTCTCTCTCATCGATGTTTCTAACTCTCTATCCCTCTCTCTTCCTCTGTAAAAAAATCAATCAATCAATAAATAAATAAATACAGCCGGGACCGGTTTGTCTCAGTGGATAGAGCGTTGGCCTGCAGACTGAAAGGTCCCGGGTTCAATTCCGGTCAAGGGCATGTACCTTGGTTGTGGGCACGTCCCCAGTAGGGGGTGTGCAAGAGACAGCTGATCGATGATTCTCTCTCATCGATGTTTCTAACTCTCTATCCCTCTCTCTTCCTCTCTGTGAAAAATCAATAAAATAAAAAAATAAATAAATACATATATACAGAGAGAGAGAGAGAGAGAGAGAGAGAGAGAGAGAGAGAGAGAGAGAGTTGTGTAATAAAAGCCAAGAGAGAAAGGACTTTTAAGAAGGAAAGCGCAGTCAGCAACATGGTCAAGAATGAGCAGAGTGTTCAAGTGTGCGGAGAATAGAGAGGTAGCTGATAAGAACTGACAGCACACCGATGACTGGAGCTTCTTGTGTCCACAGGCTTCTCCAGCATCAACCAGACTCGTCTTGATTTCCACTTCTTCTCTGATAGAACTGCTGGGGGCATGGAGGTCCAGGAGGCCAGCCTCAGGCTCTTTGTGCAGCTCCCTCCCAATACCACCTGGACTTGGAAGGTGAGGGTCCTGGTGCTAGGTTCACACAAAGCCAACCTCACTTTGGCTACTCAGCACCAGCTAAAGATGGATGCCAGTGGCTGGCACCAGCTCCTTCTGGGACCTGAAGCTCAGGCTGCCTGTAGCCAGGGACACCTGACCCTGGAGCTTGTGCCTGAAGGACAGGTAGCCCAGAGCTCCGTCATCCTGAGTGGGGCTTCCCAGAGGCCTTTTGTGGCAGCCCGGGTGAGAGTTGGGAGCAAGCACCGGGTCCGACGTCATGGCATCAACTGCCAGAGTGGGTCCAGGATGTGCTGCCGACAAGAGTTCTTTGTGGACTTCCGTGAGATCGGCTGGCACGACTGGATCATCCAGCCTGAGGGCTACGCAATGAACTTCTGCACGGGGCAGTGCCCGCTGCATGTGGCAGGCATGCCTGGCATTGCTGCCTCCTTTCATACCACCGTGCTCAATCTTCTCAAGGCCAACGCAGCTACAGGTACAGCTGGAGGGGGCTCATGCTGTGTGCCCACCGTCCGGCGCCCCTTGTCTCTGCTCTACTACGACAGGGACAGCAACATTGTTAAGACTGACATACCTGACATGGTGGTCGAGGCTTGTGGATGCAGTTAGTCTACCCCAAGGTAGAGTAGGCAAATATGCCCCCACAGAGGTGCCCTTCCTTGAGAAGAGGGACTGGCTCCATTACTGCCTCTGTACAGAAGGTGCAATCCCTCTTCCTGAGCAACCTACAGAAATTATCCCAACTTTGACTTAGGGAGATCTTCACCTAAAGAGAGTCACTGTGCCCTAGCCGGCTTAGCTCAGTGGATAGAGCGTTGGCTTGTGGACTGAAGGGTCATGAGTTTGATTCTGGTTAAGGGCACATGCCTGGGTTGCAGGCTCAATCCCCAGTATGGGGCATGCAGGAGGCAGCCAATCAATGATTCTCATCGTTGATGTTTCTCTCTCTCTTTCTTCCTTCTTCTCTGAAATCAATAAAAATATATTTAAAAAAATAAGGAGAGTCACTGTGCCTGATCGGGGTAGCTCCATGGTTGAGCATTGACCCATGAACTGGGAGATCATGATTCAATTCCCCATTAGGGCACATACCTTGGTTGCAGGCTAGATTCCCAGTAGGGTTCAAGGTAGGAGGCAGCCAATTAATGATTCTTTCTCATAGTTGTCTACCTCTCTATCCCTCTCCCTTCCCCTTTCTAAAATCAATAAAAACTTATTTTTTAAAAAAGTCAACCTTTAAAAAATAAATAAATACATATGTAAACAGCCAGCCTCTCCATCAAGCAAGCCCCACCTGCTCAACTGCCATCCCAGAGACTCTGATTCACTTCCAACCATAAGCAGTGCAAACCAGGCAGACACCCATAACCTACTCTTAGTCTACACCATAATCCAATATGCATCCCTGCCCTTTCCTCTCAATGCCCATACCTCTCTAAAGAAGTTGACCCAGCCCCTTCCCTTGATTTTCTGGATCTCCAAAGAGCCCCCACCTTGGTTCCATCAAAGATTAGATCATTGCTCTCCAAAATGAGGCTCATCCCTCTCTATATCTTGAGCCCTTTTCCTTCTTACTTGCCCCAGTGGCCCACCTAAGGCCTTCTTGGCACACCCACATCCTTTCTTTCCTTCTCTGCCCTGCTCTATGCCCTTGGGGGCTGACTCACCCGAGTTCCTTTGGCCCCTGCTTTCTGCTGAATTTGACTAAGGGAAGACACAAGCAAGAAATCCAAATATTTCCTACTCATGCTAACTCGGCCTAGGAGCCATGTGCGACTGTGGCTGTGACTATGTCCCTACAGCTCCTGTCTCGCTGCTCTCTTCCATGGCTTCAGCTTTGCCTGAGTTCTGATATCACTGCTTCCATGCTAAAGGCTTATAATGGCTCGCCACTCTTACCAGTACCTCAGTGCTTCAATATCCCTCGTTGGTTCCCTTAACCCTGCCCATACCTCTGTAAAGAAGAGTCCTTCAGTGCTCAGCTGGTGTTGCTCAGTGGTTAAGTATCGACCCATGAACCAGGAGGTCAGAGTTTGACTCCCGGTAGGAGGTGTGCAGGAGACGACTGATCAATGATTCTCTTTCATCACTGAAGTTTGTCTCTCTTTCCCTTCCTCTTTCTGAAATCAATAAAAATAATTTAAAAAAATAAGTCCTTCATTAACTCTTCTCAATGATGCAAACACAGACAGCTGAGAAGGTCTTTTGTCTCCTGTGAGAACCCTAACTGACAGGCCTGAGGACAGCTGCCTGCTGTGTTCATTTCTGCTCTCCTCACACAGGTTCCTCAGGGCTATTGTGTCCATTCCATACTTCATGCCTTTCCTTTCTCAGGCTGCCTCTTCTCCTTTGTTAGGCCCCCTGCACCCTTTTGGAACCCTCTTTGCTGGTCCCAAGCCTAATAAAGACCTGGGTTTTACCTGGTCCTCTTCCCCCAGATCATTGCTCAATCAGATCATTGCTCAATCAGAAAGAAGGCCAACAACCTGTGGGCACACATCTGGGGGGAGGCAGAGGAATGGTTCAGACATGGCTGCCTTCCTTTCACCAACTCAGGCCTCCATCCAGGAGTCCTGATTGGAAGCTGGAACAAGCTAAGGGCTGCTACAGTAGGGCAGGGAGAAAAAAAGGAAGGCCTGGAGTGAGAAGAGGGAGGCATTTGCTTTGCAACTGGGTTTCTGGGTTCTCTATACCAGACATTTTCAAGAAATTTTTTATAAGTTTTTATTTCAGAGAGAGGAAAGAAGAGGAAGAGAAGGATAGAGACATCAATGATGGGAGAGAATCATCAATCAGCTGTCTCCTGCATACCCTTCACTGAGAATTGAGACCATAACCTGGGCATGAGCCCAGATTGGGAATTGAACCAAGACCTCCTGATTCATGGGTGGATGTTCAATGACTAAACCATACCAGCTGGGCTGCAAGAATTTTAAAAACATTCAATACCTGACAACAACAACAAGAGCCATCTTGTGTGAATGCCTGTCTTGAACCATAAATATATAGGTCATATAATAGAGTTGCATCTTATTGATCACATCACATAATAAGGTTGTGTCTGATTAGTTCTTTTTTTAATATATATTTTATTGATTTTCACAGAGAGGAAGAGAGAGGGATAGAGAGTTAGAAACATCGATGAGAGAGAATCATTGATCAGCTGCCTCTTGCACCACCCCACTGGGGATGTGCCTGCAACCAAGGTACATGCCCTTGAGGGGAATTGAACCTGGGACCCTTCAGTCCGCAGGCCGAAGCTCTATCCACTGAGCCAAACCAGTTTCGGCTGATTAGTTCTTAGTACCAGAAATCCTTATTTACAAGTATAGACATTTTATTTTTTAATGGTTTTTTTAAATTGATTTTTAGAAAGAGAGGAAGGGGGGGGAGATACATCCATGAAAGAAACATCCATCTGCTGCCTCCTGCATGCCCCCTATTGAGGATAGAGCCCACAATCCAAGCCACACCCTGGGCATGTGCCCTGACCAGGTATCAACTGGCGATCTCTCAGTGCATTGGATGCTCACCAACTGAGCCACACCCACCAGGGCTAGACACCTGATTTATATTAAAGTCACTTTGGAGCAAAAAAGGTAAGTAATTACTATTATTTTTTTGTAAATCAATCAAAATTATACTTTTTTTGTCATGTGACCAAAAAATATATTTTGGGTGTGCTGCAGAATTTTAGTATTTAGTTTGTGTGTCCCATGAGAAGAAAAAGGTTGAAAATTACTGCTCTAGACCTTTGCCCTCTGCCCCCCCCCCCCGTTTCCTCCCTTTGGTTGGACAGCCCTGCACCATGGATCGATATTGTCTGCAGCCCAAGGCCGAAATTTTGCAAAACCCATGTGTTCTTTGGGTTACGTGATGTCTGTGTTTGCTCAGCTTATAACCCCCTTCTGCCAGGGTCTGAGGTCCTTGAAATAGGAACCCTAGAGGAGAAAGTCTGAAAGGGACCTGCAAGGCTGAGCTGTGGGGTTTCCTGAGCAACCTCGTGGACATTATCCCACCTTTAACCTGAGATCTTCATCTAAGGAGAGAATTTAAGGGAATCTCTCCCTTAACGCACCCAACTCCCCTCCCTTCAGGCCCCAGAGCCAAGACTAAGGTGCGGTAGAGTAAAGCACTCATCTTAGGGGCAAAATTTAAGGGGAAGCCAAAAAAATTATCAATAAAAATAAATTATATATATATACAAATTTATCAATAAAAATAAATTATATATATATAGAGCGTCTGCATATATATATATATATATATATATATATATATATGCAGACGCTCTATCCACTGAGCCAAACCGGTTTCGGCTAATTCTATATTTTTAAAACATCAAGGTTAATGCAAAAAAAAAAAAATCCATGATGAAAAAAGGCAAATTTTTAAGTAAACATGGGATCAGTATCCTTTCTTCTGTGGTTCTGCCTGCTATAACAAGGAGAAAGAGTGGGTATGTCTTCTTTCAAACCTTTTCTTCCAGAGTCCCCTGAATCCCTAACTCTAGACTGTCAGACTTTTTCTCATTCAGGCAAGATAATCATTCAGGATTCTTCTACTTCCTTACCCACCCCTAAGCCTTGTCGCTATCCTCCAGCCCCAACCAGGTTGGTGGTAGGGCGGCCAATGAGGCAGATGGCTGGAGTATTTATAACTCAAGAGCACTTCTTGGGAAAAGTGACTAAGATGCTAAGAGCATATTTATAGCTGGGTTCTGACGTAAGTGTCAGTGAGGAGGTAGGGCCAAGCCAGGCACAGCAGCAAAGGATAGGAAGAGCTGGAAATTGGGGGCACCTGACAGAGGGGAGGGGTGGAGTCAGCGACTCCTGCAGCTATTTCTTGCTGCTTCCCTGAACTCTGCCTCCTGGCACCAACAGGAAAGCCCTCTGCAACGCCGCTGTTGTGGGCAAAACCTCTGTCTTGCCGGGACCGGTTTGGCTCAGTGGATAGAGCGTCGGCCTGGGGACTAAAGGGTTCCGGGTTCGATTCCGGTCAAGGGCATGTACCTTGGTTGCGGGTGCATCCCCAGTAGGGGGTGTGCAAGAGGCAGCTGATCGATGATTCTCTCTCATCGATGTTTCTAACTCTCTATCCCTCTCTCTTCCTCTCTGTGAAAAATCAATAAAATATATTTTAAAAAACAACAACAACAACAAAAAAACCTCTGTCTTGCAGTTCTACGACGCAGATCCCAGAGGGTAGAGGGCTGTCACCAGCCGGATCAACAGAGACAGAGCTGGGGAGAACACTGGACAGAGGGGCTTGAGTGTTTCCAGCCCCGGGGGGAAATGCAGGGTGTACAGGACCGTCTGTAAAGTCTCATTGTCCCTTCTCCCTGCTCCTTTCCACGAGGTGCCTTGAGTTTCTAGGAAGAACTTCGCACCCATCACCAAGCTCCACTGCCACCTGCCAGTATGATGAGGTCCAAAACCAAAGGCAGCAGCGATGCTGGTCCCAACTGCACTCTCTGCCCTCTGGCAGTGGCGAGATGTGAGAGCGGAGGGACCAGCTTCTCTGTCTCCTGTTGGGGAGTCAGGGTTCCCAGAGAGAGAGGTTGGGAAGCACTGCCTCTCTCCACCCCCCTGGTGGCCCCTTCTCTGGGAAGCTAGTCAGAGCTAAGACAGAGGCTGTCAGTAGTAGCACTACACTGCCACATGGTGGACATCGGGGGTACTGAAACCCAGCCCCCAAAAGCACCACCTCTATCCCTGCTGCTGGATTAGCAGGTTCTCTTGACAGTCCCCCCCTCCCCCCCACACACACACACACGCTAGATAGTGGGGAGATGAATAAAATGGAGTGGGGGCACACTTCCAAGTCACGCTCACTTCCTCTCTCTTCTTGAAGAAACTGAGGTGTAAGGAGAAAGGTTAGCATGAGGCCTTCCCTCATAAATTCAAGGTGGAGGGGCCTGGCCCTCCAATGTAGAGTCAGTGAGGGAGTGGGATAAGGAGGGCTGGAACTGAACTAAGGTTGCTGCACTTTTTGTTTGCTCTGCTCTTACACGTCCTAAGCCAACCATTTCTCATCCCCAGAAAGAGAGACCTGGCACCACTTCTAGGATGCCCCACATTTAAGCAACTCTCACAGTCCCTGAAAGAGAACCAGCAGCTGGGTACACCACCACCCCACCAAGTCCCGTGCCCTCTGCCAGCCTTGGTGGACTCTGGCCTGCTGTAAGATTGCATCAACCCCACCGCCCCCACCTCTCTGGGTTTCCCCAGACATCACAGTAACATGCCAACCCCGTGCCCCTGCCCACTTCCACGTGTTCTCCAGTCCAACTGGACTCTGGGCAGCCAGCACAGGCAGGGTCAGGGAGTGACTTCTGTGTCCCATGGCACTGACACCTGGGCCTGGGCAAAAGGACACTGCTCCTCCCGCCCCCACCTGCCAGCCTCTCCCCCTGTACCAGACTCATGGCTAAAAATAGAAACCAGGGTTCTCCTTCTAGCCCAGAGACCCCAGGGAAACAACCGCGGGAACTCGCAGCTGCATCACAGCAACTGCTGCAGCAGTGGCCAAGGAGCGGGCTGGGAGGCTGAAGGATGAGGGGAGATTGCCCTTCCCCACCTTGCTATATGGCGTTCCCTCCCCCAAGTCCCAGACCTTGAGGGCTGACCATGTGAAATCATCCTCCTTCTTGCATCATGCGTGTCCACATTGCCCCCACCCATACCCCTACCTCAAACTCAGTGACCAGGGCCAGATGGTGAAACCTGAGCTGGGGGGGAGAGGGAGGAGAGAGACACACATTCACGCCCTTCAGGGGCTTGATGGGCAGCAGAGCTGGCCAATCTGGTGCTCAGAAGGTAGGTCTGCAGGCTGACCACGAGGTGCAGAAGCCCCAGGCTGCAGACTCTAAAGAGGCCCCAGCCAGTAACCAGACATAAGCTACGAGGGTCAGATTGGCAGACTGTGCTAGACACAGCTACCCATCAGGCCGTCCACTTTCTACCAGGCAACGGAAGACAGGTGGCTCTGCCCTTGGCTGAGGGTAGGTGTGGCACTCCTGTCCGCCCCCGCTGTGCCCTCTCTGGCCTCTGTGCAATCAGACGCAACAGCAGGAGCAACTGCCACCCTAGGCCATTCACCAGGAACATGGGGCGCCCTGGTGTCCAGCTCCGGCTGGTGCTGCTGTGGGCACTGGTGTGGGCACAGGAGACAAGGTCTGTGTGTCCCTCTTGCGGGGGCCCCACCCTGGCGCCCCAGGCGGAGCGAGCTCTGGTCCTAGAGCTAGCCAAGCAGCAAATCCTGGAGGGGCTACACCTGACCAGTCGTCCCAGGATCACTAACCCTCCACCCCAGGCAGCACTGAGCAGAGCTCTCCGGAGACTACAGCAGGGAAGTGTGGCTCCGACGAAAGGGGAGGAGGTCATCAGCTTTGCTACCACCACAGGTGGGTGAGAGAGAGAGAGGCAGAAAGCAAGCAAGGGAAGGGGGGCGGAAAGGGAGGCTGGAAGACAAGGTAGACCGAGCAGGGCGTGGGAGGAGGAGGAGAAGATGGGGTGCGGAGGATGCTAGACAGTCCCCGTTTCCTCTAACGGTGGGCGCTAGGGAGAGCAGAGGGCAGGGCTTGCAGGAGTCTCGCTCGGAGGAGAGCTCCACTTCTGCTCAGTCCCTCAGTCCTTTCTCAACCTTTCCCGCAGATCCCTCCACTCCAACCTGCAGCTCCACGCTCACCTTCCACCTGTCCACTCCTCGGTCCCACCAGCTGTTCCACGCGCGCCTGTGGCTTCACGTACTCCCCACCCTTCGTGGCACTCTTTACTTGAAGATCTTTCGTTGGGGCACCAGGAGGAGGCACAGAGGGTCCCGCGCCTTCCTGGCTGAGCACTCAATTACAAGCCCCGGCTGGCATGCCCTGACTCTGCCCTCTAGTGGCCTGAGGGGTGAGGAGTCTCGTGTCCTGAGACTCCAGCTGGACTGCAGTCCCCTAGAAGGCAACAGCACAGCTGCCGGCCAACCTCCGCGCCTCCTGGACACAGAGGGAAACCAGCGGCCCTTCCTGGAGCTGAAGACCCGTCCCAATGGGCAGGGAGCAGGCCGCGTCAGGAGGAGGACCCCCACCTGTGAACCTGAGACTCCCTTATGTTGTAGGCGAGACCATTACGTAGACTTCCAGGAACTGGGGTGGAGGGACTGGATCCTGCAGCCTGAGGGGTACCAGCTGAATTACTGCAGTGGGCAGTGCCCCTCCCACCTGGCTGGCAGCCCGGGCATTGCTGCCTCCTTCCATTCTGCTGTCTTCAGCCTCCTCAAGGCCAACAATCCCTGGCCCTTGGGTACCTCCTGCTGTGTCCCTACCACCCGAAGGCCTCTCTCTCTCCTCTACCTGAACCGCGATGGTAATGTGGTCAAGACAGATGTGCCCGATATGGTGGTGGAGGCCTGTGGCTGCAGCTAGCAAGAGGATCTGGGGGTCAAGTAAAGATATCAAGTTGGGGGTTCCCAGGCAAAGGGCATCTGCGGCTGGAGGCATCAGATGCCTGATCTGCACCACCACCCGATGGGCCACCTGGCAGTATGACTGAGTTGACCTCTCTGGGACCCAAATGGACGCTTTCCTATCCAGGCGCTGGTCTGTTCCGGGTGTGTGGTGTGTGGGGAGCTGGGGAAAGTGTGTGCTCTGAAGGGATCTACCCAGAAAGCATGATTTCCTGCCCTAAGCCCTATGAGAAAACAGCAGCAGCGAGAGAGGGAGGGAGGGAGGGAGGGAAGAATTGGCAGAGAACATGTCTTAGTCTCTCCCAAGAAGACAAAGTCCTCAAGTGAGAGAAGAAGGAAGCAGACGGAGGGCCCGACAGACTTGGGGCAGGGGAAACAGGCTGGCCAGGGGTCGGGCTGTTGAGGTGCTTTAAGGGAGGGTCAAGAAGGATATGGGCAAGGGTCGAGGAAAGGGGTTGAGCAGAACCCCAGAAATGAGAGTCAGGAGAGAAGCATGCTGAGACTGAGAAGTTCCTCAGCTTTTCCCAGTGAGGGGCAGGACCCACTGGAGAGACAAACATTTATACTTTCCTAATAAAAATGAAGGGGGGGGCGGGGAAATCACCCAGTTTGAGTCATAAAGGGCTGCGGTGTTGGTCCAGAGCAATGGTTCTCAAAGTGCGGTCTGGGGACCCCTGGGAGGTTCCTGAGACCCTTTCAGGGGTGTCCACGGGGTCAACACTATTTTCATAATAACACTAAGAAGTTGTTTGCCTTTTTATGTTCATTCTCTCAAAAGCATTCAGTGTTTTCCAGAGGCTGGTGACATGTGATTACATCATCGTTCTGACATTGTTAATGGGATGCGTGCTTTGTGTATTCTTGTGTTACAAACGCTTTTCAGTTTTAATTTCTAATATGGTAAATTGATATAGACCACATAAACAAAAGCTTGGTAAATTTTAAAGCGTGTAAAGTGGTCTTGAAACCAAATATTTGAGACTTGCTGATCTGGAGAAAGCAGTGTGGGAAGGAGAAGGCAGTGTGACGTAAAAAAATTACCCTGGAGGGTGGGGCACATGGCTGAGGCCAGAGCCTGGGCAGGATCCCTTCTTCTCCAGTGACCTCTGGTCATGCTTGACCCTCTGAGTATAACTGGTGTCTGGGTCAAAGAAACATGGGGGAGGGAGCTCAAATGTGCTCCTAATCTGCACCTCACAGCTACTATCTATATGCGTCTGGCCTCAGATCACTTCCTAGTTTCCCCTTTTCCCCTTGACCCTCAGACTGAACAGTTAACCTACTAACTCTCCAGCCCCAAGGAAGCGGTTCTTGGAAGCAGAGTTAGGATGTGGGAGTTCTGTCTGAAGGGTAACAGAAAATAAAGGGACCTTTCCCCCCACCATGCTTTCGCCCCTTTCTCATAAAGAAAGGTCGGAGAGCATGAAATAGCTGACCCTATCCCTGCATCTGATCACCATGGCAACACAAATCCAAAGAGACACTACTGCTCTGCACTAGCAGCCTCTGCCAGTCCGGTGTTGGGGGCTCATACAACCCCCTCCCTGGACTAGCCTGACTGGGCTTTGGTGGCGATCTGTAAACCCTATTCCTTTGGCCTCCCAAGTTTCCTCTGCCTCGGAGACTCCAGGAGGGTGTCATGTGCCAAAAAGGCCAGCAGAGGGAGCAGACAGCCTGGCAGAGCAGAAAGAGCGCGGACAGCGCAGAGGTGCGGAGGTGGCCGCCTTCTCCAGAACTTCGAGAACAGGGAGAACCAGGGTTCCTCGGGTACAGTACTTCAGTGCTGGGGTTCCCTAGGAACCTTGTGTCCACACACTCTGCACCCATTGCCTCAGCCTCTGCTCCTCATATGCTGCATAGAACCCTCACCTTACGCTCAGGGCCCCCAACCCAAGGCTGTCACAACCCTGTTTCCAACAACCCCCCCAGCTCCGTCCCGGCTCTTTCGTGTCCACCCAAAGAGTGAGGACCGCCGAGAAACCGCAGGGTGGTGCTCACTAGCCACCAATCAAGGACCAAGACCCTACCTCCAACAGTCTTTCCGGAATAAATTTTGTCGTCGCCCCCTTTCTGCCCTGCAATGTGTTTCTGGCACGGGTTCAGGGTCTTTTCGTGGACAGCCGGTCCGAGGATCCACGCCGGGATTTACTGCCCGCCACCAGCAGCGTGTTCAGTTGCGGGGGGGGGGGGGCGGGGGTACAGCATAGGGTCCCTCAAGGGAGGGGGAGGATCCTGGGGGTCCTGGGGGTGCAATGAGCCCGGCACCCCCTCTCTTGCTTCCAGCTACCCCGCCTCACCCTACAGAGAGGCAAGAGGGAGGGACCTAGGAGGGAGGTGAAGGGCCAGCGGGAAGAGCGGCGGCGCGCCAGCGGCTGGAGCGAGGAAAAGTTTTTGCATCGGGGAAAAAAAAGTTTGCGCTTCTCGCGGGTGGTCCCGGCTCGCGGCCCGGCGGGCTGGGCCGGCGGGAGGGCTGGGGGCCAGGTTAGGGGGGGTGGGGGTGGCACTGAGGCTGCGCTGCAGTGGCACCGTCCGCCCCCCCTCCCCACCGCACCCCCCGGCCCAGACTCCAGCCCTGGACCGCGCATCCCGAGCCCAGCGCCCAGACAGAGGTGAGAAGGGGGGGCGGGCGGGGGACCACCTGGGAGAGGTGGGGGAGGGGGCCGGAGGGGATGCTCTGCTTGTGAGGGACTCTGCCCGGCCATCAGAACGGGGGCACAGCGGCGGGATTGGGGCGGGAGAGCCTGGGGTGAGACATTAGAACGTGTGGAGGATTTTTTCATTTGTATCTCCCTTTTTCTGTTTCTCTCTCTCTCTCTCTCTCTCTCTCTCTCTCTCTCTCTCTCTCTGCTGGCTGTCTGTGTGTCTGTCTCAGGCAACTGGCTCTCTTTGTCTGTCTCTGCCTCTCCCATACGTTAGAAGCATCTCACTTTCATGAGGTTGGGATGGAGAGGCTGGAGGGACGGCTAGCTGGAGGTCTGCAAGGTAGAGGGGGAACTCCAGGTGTGTGTGAGCGCCGGCGGGAGACGTCAGTGCTTCTGAAAGGAGGGGACAGCTCAGGAGAGAACCCTAGGTGGGGTGGGAGGGGATGGGTGTGCGTGAGGTGACAAAACCACTGGTCGGCGGGGCTAGGACCCCTGACCTGTCTGTCTTGTGACAGATGTGCTTGCTGGTGCCCGTGTTTTTGGAAAAGGAGTGTCTTTTGGACAAGGAAGGGGGCTGGAGGGACCAGTGTCTGGGTTAGGCCCTAGAAAGACTCCCCAAGGACCCTGGACTCCCGCGTCCCCCAGGGTGGTGGGCAGGGTGCTGCGGAGGAGCCCAGGAGCCCTTGTCCTGACCCGCTGACCTCAGGACCACCGGGACAGCTGGGGCCAGCGGCAGGGAGACCCCTACTGGGACGGGGCGGGACCACCGGCCACTGCCGGCCGGTGCATCCCAGCGGGTCCCCCTCCCTCCCGAACGGAGCCGGACCAGGCCCCTCCTCTGGCTCAGACCACCCTGCCTGCCCTCGCTCGCCGCTCTGAAGCCTCTTTCAGGCCCCGTGACCCCGAAACAATCCGCCCTGTGCAGCCAGCTTCGGGGACAGGATTAGGGAAAGGGGATCCCATAGAGACTGAGAAACGGAGATTTTTTAGGGGGCTGGAGAACTGGGGTCTTCCTCGGATGGAGCTTTACTGTCGGGCAGAGGAAGAAGGCGGGGCGGTTTCCTGGGGGAGCTGTGAGGGCCGGAGTCAGGGTGGTTTTCCCCAGGGGGGCGGGGTCCGGGCCCCCTCCCCCATTATCTCCCCGGCATCCCCGCCAGGCGGCTCCGACCCCGCCCTTGACGTCACTCTGGGGGTTCCCGGGGGTCTGCCGGGGTTAACCCTTGGGAAACCAGCTGGGATACCCGGGACCCTAAGGTGTCCTGGTGGCTGCCCTCCCCACACACACACACCTTATTTTATTTACTCGGTCGCTTTCTCTCCCTGTGGTTTCTGGATGCTTTCTTTTCCACCTTGCCCCTGGGACCCCCACCCTCCCCCGGCGACCCCTCCCACACACACACGGGGCGCCGCCGCCAGCTTGCTGGATGCTCGGAGGGGCGGAGGGAGGAATGTGTCCCGCCTCCCAGCACCCCCCCTCCCGCCCCCTCGCCGCGGCTCGCTCCACTGGGCTCCCGGGCGGGCGGGGGAAGCGGAGCCGTCTGCAGCCAGAGCCTGCGGCGGCGACTTGGGTGGGCCGGGGAGGCACGGGGGCGGGGAAGGCGGGCCCGGGAGCAGGGGGAGGGGCCGGCTCCTGGGAGTTGGGGAGCGGGGGGTGCGAGAGGGACTCTGGAAACTAGGAAGACACACAAGATGATTCAGGGCTCCAGGTGGGGAACCCTAGAGCCAGCTTCCTGCCCCGTCCTGTGCGCTCCTCCACACCCCAAAAAAAACTTAACCGAGGCTGGAAAGGCTGGCAAATTTTTCCTTTCCCTCATGTGAAGGGGAGTCGTGGGTGGGCCCTGGCGCGCGTGGGCGAGGAGGGATGTTGCCCCACGTCCAGCGGCTGCACCCCTGAGGCTGGGCCGTGGGGCAGAAAGATGACTTGGTGGGCATGGTTGGGGGGGCGTCTCTTTAGTGTTGGGGGGGGGTCGTTGGCGAGCCCCCGCCTTCTTCCCCTGGATGAGTCATAGAAGGAGGCGGGAGAAGTGTCCCCCGATCCAGCTGCCAGCCAGCTGTGCCCCCCCTCCGCCGTGCCAAGGTCGAGTTGGGAGGTCTTGGATGCGGGATCCAGATCCCCGCTAGGAAGGGAGGGACTGGGAAGAGTACGGTCCAGGGGTCCAGGCTGCGAAGCTCCGACTGGGTCGTGGGGTCCGGGTTCCGCTCCCCAACTTACCCCGCCCTCACCCTAAATCCCAGCATCCCGGGATCACCCACCGCGCCGGCCGGCCCGCTCCCGTTCGTTCTCCACCCTACCCCGCCCCACCCCACCCTCAGCCTG